TTGAAAAATGGGTATTTTATTTTATTGTTTTTATTTTTGTAGGGGTTATCTAGACCAGTCACTTTTGTTTCAGTTCATTGACTTGGTATTTGAACAAAAATGTCACCTTGAGTTATTGTCAGCTTATCTATAAACTTAGGGTTGCATGAAATCTAGAGATATGAATATTTGAAATACTTCATCTATATATATATAAATCATATGTATATATATAATTGCTGGCAAGATTTAATAAATTTTATTCAGCTAAACAATTAATAAAAATAAGAGTTCATTTAATAAAACTCTTTATGACCAGCATTCAAATGACAATGACGCAAGTAGAACTTTATTATTATAAATTTTTTATTCTGCAACAGTTTTACAAGATTTTAAATTATTTTAATATACAATATTAAATTATTTTACAACTAACATTTTTATTTTGTATTATAGTTATACAATAAAAAAAATATGGAAGTTAAATAACTTAATTATACATTTACATATATTCAAAATTTTAAAATGTAATTCACACTTTATTTAATTTAAATTTTTAAATATCATATATATACATATAATATATAGATTTTTGTTTCCCCCTTTGCATGTGAACATGATTGAATACTAGTTACATGAATTATAGAAATTTATAAATTTTTGGATTAAGTTTGAATTTGAGACTTAGATTAATTGGATATAAAATTATATTCAATTTCATCTCTTTTTCATTAGACATTTGATCATATTAAAAATTATCCAATAAAAAAAATATGTTTCATCTGTTTTTAATTTTTCCCTATTAATCTTATCAACACATTAAAAAAATATAAATAAATCATTACAACTTATTTTTTTCAACAAATTTACTATTCATTGAGTCACACATTTGAGCTATAAATCATTTATAATTATTATTTTACTATTTTATATATCTTATCAAATAAATTATATTTCACCTTATTTTATTATTGGTTGAAATGACATCAAGCTTCGGGCGTTCTTTGTGATAAGAGGGTGCCACAAAGGCTAAAAGGTAAGTTCTATAGGACGGCGATTCGCCCGGCGATGCTATACGGTGCTGAATGTTGGCTTACAAAAAGACAACATGTCCAACAACTAAGTGTACAGAGATGCGTATGTTGCGTTGGTTTTGCGGGCACACAAGAAGGGATAGAATCCGGAATGAGGATATTCGAGATAGGGTCGGGGTGGCTCCAATTGAGGAGAAATTGGTGCAACATCGGCTGAGGTTGTTCGGACATGTCCAACGGAGGCCTCCTGATGCATCGGTACGTAGGGGAGTTCTACAGCGGGTCTATGATGTAAAGAGAGGTAGAGGTCGGCCTAAACTCACTTGGGAAGAGTCGGTTAAGAGAGACCTTAAAAATTGGAATATCTCCAAGGATTTAGCGGTGGATAGGAGCGTTTGGATGCTAACAATCAACGTGTCAGAACTGTGACTTTTGCTCCTTTCTCTTTTGCTCCAATCTTTTTCTTTTGTTTTGAGCCTCTTTTTGTGTTTCTCTTACTATTGGTTCTATCGAGTTTCATCTCCAGTCTACCCCAATCTGCTTGGGACAAAAATGCTATGTTGTTGCTGTTGTCACCTTATATCCATGTGCACAAACTCAAAATAAATTATTCATGTGCATGTGCACAACTTGTTAGTTGTATGCATATTTGAACAAACACAAGGAGGCGCATAAATTAATAATATCAACAATAAAAATTATTATTAATCTAAAGACACTAAATTCCATATTAAATCTCAATTTTTAAATCTGATCATAGAAAAAGATAATATAATATAACAGATATATTATTTATGTATACGAAAGTTTAATTTTTACATGTAAATATGGGACCCGCTAAAAGAAACCTAAAAAAAGTCTTACAATTGGTACACCTAAAGTTAATAAAACTAAAAGGGGTTACTCAAGTGGTAAACAGCTTGATGTCCCTTAAGCAAGGTCTCGAGTTCGAGTCTTTGTGAATGCAGAAAATTCTTGTTGGGAGACTCACCCACCACTGCCAGGTGTGCTACCTGGGTCGACCAACAAATTAGTCGGAGCATAGCTCCGAATACTGTGACTGGCTAAAAAAAAAGTTAATAAATAATAAATGTAACTGTTTTAGGTTGAATTAATTTAAATCCTTTTTGTTATTAATCATTGTCATTGTGGTCTATTCTTTCAGACTTCAGTAATATTTAAACAATAACAACATTTAAAATTAATCACTTGATTGGATATCTTAATATTATAAAGAAAGTGTTATCTGAATATATGATTTAGATTGACTTAATGAACACCATATTAGACAATATCAACTGTTAGTTATGCAAAACAACACTCATTTTAAAAATTTGTGGGGGAGTTTGTCGAGTAGCGGTGTTCGTAAGAACACTATAAATTAAAACTAAAGGATTATTAAACAAATTAATTTTTGGGTAGCGTCCCACTAACACCTTAAACTCTTTCATTAGAAAATCGGTTGTGCGCACGATGTATAGTTTGGAATTACAAATAACTATCTAGAATTACAAATACTGGCCACGACGTGGACGAAAACAGCTATTTAGAATCCGTCCAAGCTGATTAAGTACTTAATCTCTAAGTACCTAAGAGTAACGAGGACAGAATAACTTCAAACACTTTAGTGATGCAAGAACATAAAATTGAATTGCTGAATATCTAAACTATGAATATATAAAATAATTCTCACGAACTCTGAGAAATTATCTCGAACAATGAATATAAAAACTAAATCGTAATTGTGTTCGTGCGGACACGTGTACAGTCTCCAAGTAGGTAAGACGCGTTGACCTTTCCGATCTTCTCATTATGTATTGCGAGATTTTCATGCAACGATCAACCCTTCCTTCTTTCAATACTTTATGCATCCTCTATCTACAAGAACAAGAAAGCTCATCAAGGCAATGCATAATTTGATATAGTAAGAGAATATAAATAAGAACATTGCTAACAAAGAAGATCAGCAAAATTTGTACGTTTGTCGAACACCCAAAACTAATATTTTACACGTTTCATGACAAAATTGAGTATAAAAACATGAGCACTTCAATACTTAATAAAAAAAGAGATTCGTTCATTTGGAAATAGAGAAAAGTGGGCTACAAAACATAGAATGCAACAAAAAATTCACATTCACTTTCAATCCCTCAACCATGAATGGGTTTTGCAAATAAAATAAAAATAAAATTTAAATAAAGTCTTCTTGTTTTTTTCTCTATTTTTCTCCTTACTTTTTGCCAATGTCCACTCAAAAAATAATGTGATTTCCTTAAAGACAAAAGAGTCATAGGATGAAAGGGGCCCTGCCTTTGCAAGCAACATGACATGAGACACACTTTGCAATTAATTAAACTCTCTCTCTCTCTCTCTCTCTCTCTCTCTCTCTCTCTCTCTCTCTCTCTCTCTCTCTCTCTCTCTCTCTCTCTCACTATGATCATGTTTGGTAAAACTAGCTGATAACTTATCAGTAATTTTCGAGCTTACATCTTATGATTTATGGATGAAAAGGTAGCTTATACGATAAAAGTGTCTGGTAAAATATATATCTCTCTCTCTCAATGGTAATGTTTGGTAAAACTAGTTGATACCTTATCAGTAATTTTCGAGCTTATAGCTTATGACCCATGGCTGAAAAACTAGTTTACACGATAAAGTGTTTAGTAAAATTAACTGATAAGCTAGCTGAAACAAAAATTTCAACCGAATTATTTGAAAAGCTACTCAAATAAATTTATGAGATAAGCTCGAGCTTTTTAAAAAAGCTAGTCCTACCAAACAGAATTAATTTAAATAAAAGAAGCTTATAAGCTAATTAAATAAATATAAATTAGCTTATTTGTCTACCAAACGGGATTGGTCTGTTCATCTTCAGCATGTACATCGAGAAGCGAATTTCGCGTCGGATTATCTAGCGAGTTTGGCGGGCTCCGTCTCACTTAGCCTCCAGCGGCTCAGTTCACCTCCCAATGGAGTGGTCGTTTGGCTCGAGCATGATAGCATGGGAGAGTATTATACCCTCGACAAATTCTAGCCTAGGCTTTCAGTCTCCTTTTTTTTACCAAAAAAAAAAAAAAAAATCAGACCTTATCTTTATAGGTTGCAAAGAATATAGGAAATTGAGTGGTTAAGTGAAGAAGATGAATATATGCCAAACCAAATAATGCATGCATCATTGTGATGTCGACCTTAACTTAAATTAAGCCAAATCAAACCAAGTTTTTCCCACTTCGAGACATGGACTAATGCTGTAATGGGACCGTGTTTTACACGTGCATCTGGGGCCCGCTTTGTTCTTATGCCACCTGGCCAATTGTGACTTGCACGTACGCTAAACATGGACTATCAATTTATTTATTTATCCAATGTATATATATAGAACTTTAATCTTTAATTAGTTTTCACTTACTTCACAAA